TTTTTTCATCAAATCAGTCGTTTAAAAGAATATTTAAAGGCAGAAAATATTTTGGTCTGTATCTATGAAGTGGGAGTTGTGACAGGTCCCAAACACTACTCAAAGAACTGGAAGCGAAACTGAATTCCGAGAAAATACAAAATAGAATTCTATTTGGAAATAGAACGAGGAAGAAAGGAGAGAATAGAATCAAGTTTCTCTCATCTATACGCAATCAAGTATTGTCAGTGTTGGATGAGAAAATATTCGTTCCTGATTACGTTTTGTTTTCAAACGATGTTTTCTTTTGTACGGAACATTTGATACGACTCTTGTATAGGAGTATGAAAGGAGCTGATATGGTTTGTGCCTTGGACTTCAACGAAGAGTATCAATTTTATGATACTTGGGTGGCACGAGATTCACGTGGAATGCCATTGCGACAATCGAGAGATTGTTCAGTGTTTACTTCAGATGCCGATAGTCGTCTTTGTAGGGAAGGATTGGCTGTTCCTGTACATTCTTGTTGGAATGGATTGGTGGCTCTTCGTTCTTCCGTATTTACGATGCAAGGAATTCGTTTTAGATATGTTGAAAATGAAGAAGAGGAATGTGCAGGTTCAGAATGTACGTTATTGTGCAATGACATGTGGAGAAATGGGTTTAGAAGTATTTATGTTGATCCTGGAGTGAGAGTTGCCTATCAAGCTCGAATTTTTCGTGACTTGGAGATAGAGAAGCCAGTTTTGAATGAGGAGGTTTTTTCGGTTATCAAGGAACAAGAACTTGTTCCTTTTGACCCTCCTGATAAGTTCTTTTGTTGTCCACTTCCGCCTCAATCTGCAAGAGATGATCCCAACTTGAATGTCGCTTACTTTGCTTCTGTTTTGTAAAAAAACTATCGAAGCTTTGGTTATTTTTCATGACTATTATTATTGTGACCAACAAATGACACACATATATACATTGTAGTGATGAATAGGAATGTTATAGATGGGGAGAGGATTTGCAGCAACTTTTTTTTTCGACTTGCATGTTCTCTCAATCTTTCAGTATACGACATTCATAGTACTTTTATGTTGCTTATTTTTACGATGGATAAACATGTCTCATTTCCTGTAGTTGCGTAGGATGTGTCAGCAAATTAGCTTGCCAAAGTAGTCCCTTAGAGTATCGATTGACAATTCTTGTCATACATCCATCTCACGAAGATATTTGGGTGGTTCTTCTATCCATCCACAGCCTTTACAAGTTCTCAAACTTTCGTTGGCATAATATTTTTCAATAATTGGTGGGAGATCCAACACCAAATCGTCACAGAAGAGAGTTTCTTGATATATTATAGAATGACAGCTCTCACAATACCAACGCAACTCATCCAGTTCTTTTTCATTT